CCCCCCCAACCCCGTCTTCTGCCTCTGAACTGACTGGAGATGTGCAAAAACCGGATTCATCGTAATCCGGCTAAGCAGTAACTACCTCTACATGTTATCATAATACGTATGACCCATTTCCCTGACGGAATAGTAACAATACTTTAATGTCGTCCTATAAGAGCCAGATCCGCGTATCGTGATTTTTGGTGCGAACATTTTTTTTTCACCAATCGAAAGCGGGTATCATGGGCTTCATATCTGTAAGTTTCACCGAGTTCCCTGCCTTAAAATCGCTATAAAAACTAATAACTGTTTCAATTATCATAGTTGTTTGCTTCCAAAGTAGCTCATCTTGAGATATGCGGAATGGGTTTCAATATTTTTACAACTTGGATGACGCAACAAGAATTACTATGGAACTGACAGTAAAGCCAAGAATTCCTAAATCGCGTATCATGGTACGCTTTTAGGGCTTGATCGTTTCCGGTGTGTTGGTCATTCATACATACCTACATTAATCAGTTTTTTGTTCCTCCTGAAAAATTCCCTAAAACCTTGATGCGTGGAACTAGCACTAGCTCTTATAGGACGAATAATCAAAACCTAGTGGATTTATTTAAAGTGGATGCTCTGCCCAGAATCCGGTTCCTCGGGAAGTGGGTGTGTGGCCAGCCAGGCTCTAGTTCCCAGGCTTCTCAACAACGTCGTGTGGTGCAGGAAATATTATTTGAAGTTGAAGGGGGGAAATGCTGACTCTGCTGGTTATGATGAGAGAGAAGCTGATAATGCATCCTGCGTCCTGCTCTTTGCTTGCCTCTCTGCTGACTCCCTACAGCATGTATACCCACAGGCATTCTTTTCTCCCCCTCCCACCTCCCACCTCCCACCACCGCAGTCACACGCCCACTTGCGTGGGTGGATGGCGGGTGCTCTGGCGTGGTCTGCTTCTTCTTTTCCATCAAACATCTATCGTCCTAATCACTCCCTTTTTTGTGTTTGTTACTCTCTTGTAACACCTCTAATCTTCGGCACCTATATGACCTTATTATTGTGCTGCAATTGCTGTAACACTCTTACTTAAAAAGCATAAACACCGACTCGGGCCTACACGCCCACTATTTCACTACTGTGCCGTCTCACACTCAAGCACACATGCACACATTCACTCATGACCAACACAAATGTTTGGCTCTTGTTTTGATTAGGCCTAGATATTTGGTTTTCCTTCATGGAGAGGGGAAGTAGAAACAGGAAAGAGCTGGGAGAAGGAAATGGAGAGAAATGGGGGGAGGGGGGGGTCTTCTCTCTCTCTCTCTCTCTCTCTCTCTCTCTCTCTCTCTCTCTCTATCGGTGTATATATATGAGTTACATGCAAGTTCATGTTTGTAGTTAGTTTTTACTCTCCTTTATTCCCACACACTGTTGCTGTAGGGTTTTTAAAAAAAGAGCAGGTGGTTGGAGATTGCCACTGGTGGTAGGTTTTACTCTTTTTTTTC